GGGAAGATGCAGCCCCCAGCTTGCCAAGTAACTGCACTGAGATCTCCAGAAAGGGAATGCAGTGCGAGCTGAGAGAGGGAAGGGGGCAGGCCTTGTGCTGCTGCAGTGAGCTACCCTGCTGTCCACTGCCCTTCTAGATGCTTGCTAATTTGTCTGGGAAAGCAGTGGATGATGACACAAGTGCCTGGGTGCTTCCACCCATATAAAAGACCTTGAGTATGATTCCAGGCTCCTGACTCCTGCTCGGCCCACCTCCAGCCAAGAGATGTTAAGAGGTTGAAGAACTGCCCCATATGTCTCTGCCTTGCAAATAATAAAAACTTTTAAAGGGGCCAGGAGAGGAAAGAATGTTTTTTTTTTTAAAGAAGAAATCAAGAAGACATGGGTTGTAATTCACATTGAAAGAGATGCTGTACTTTCTGCCATTGTCTATACCTTCGACATATTTTGTATGTACTAAGCTAATTAGTAATTCCTCTTCTGAAATCCATACAATAGTCAAACCACATTATTGTTCTTGCCGCTTGAAGCCCCTCAGTACTCCCCTTCATGGCAGCCGACACTGTGAGTGTCTTCCTTATGCCTCCTTCCAACCACCAACAAAGTTGGGGTCTCATTCTGTAGAACTGGATTTATCTATACTTGCTTCCTAGGGGCAAAGCTCATGTTCAGCACATATCTTGTAAATCATAAATGCTCAGAATACTTGCTGAATGTATGACTACAGCCTGAACTTAGTCTTCATTTTATTTAAGTCTGCTCAGCATTTATTTTAGTTCTTACCTTTTAGAAGTGGAGTGAAGTTTTAGAAGACAGAGGTTTGTGCTAGTTGGCAATGAATGTGAGAGTGCACAGCGGGAGTCAGAGTCGGGCAGGGGATGAAGACAGATGGGCATGTCGAGGCATGAAGAGTGACCTTGGAGGGCCAGTGCCGTGGCTCAACTGGATAATCCTGTCTGCAAGCACTGGCATCCCATATGGGTGCCTGTTTGTATCCAGGCTGCTCCATCCATTCCCTGCTTATCAAATGGAAAAATAGCATGGCTCAAGTCCTTGGGCCCCTGCACCCCCAAGGCAGACCTGGAAGAAACGATTGGCTCCTGGCTTCAGTTTAGCTCAGCTCTCGCCATTGAGGCCAGTTGGGGAGTGAACCAGCAGGTGAAATACCTTTTGGTCTGTGTCTCCTGTGTCTCTATATATCTGCCTTTGCTAAATAAATACATAAATAAATAAAGGGGCCCTTGGTGATCTGAGGCCAGGGAACAAGTCTCAGTGCCGTTGGGAGAGGCCCACTCTGCAGCTGTCTCAGGAATCCAGGCATCTTCAGAACAATGTAGTTCTTGCTTACTTTTAATATTTTAACTTTATCTATAAATGAAGAGATTTTCATGTTTTCTCCCTATTTTTAGTTTATCCTTGGGAAATAGGACATGTCTTCAGTTAATAGACATTTGAGGTGTGCAAAATGAAATGCTGCAAAAGCAATTGAGATGGAAGTGACAGGTGTGGGAAAGGGGCTCAGCTGCTCACAGCGCCTCGGCTTGATGACAGTCTTGCAATAAATAATCAGGAACTGGGGGGAAATGATAGCGAATGTCAGTTTAAAGTTTTCACTTGTCAAAACTGAGATTGTCTTGTCGCCACACCATTGCCGAACCAAATTATGTAGCTCTTATCTTTCTGCTCGTTGGAAAACATGCTTTTCCTCCGTTTCTCTCTTTTTTGTATCCTTAACTGCATTAGAGTGCTTCACAGACAAATTCCCAGTCTATACTGATGTTCATTTAATCAAGGAGGATTGTTTTGGTCAGAAAGCAGTTGTTAGGGTCTTCTGCATATTAGTCCTGTGCTTGTCCTTTCTGGTTTCAAATTAAGCAGTTGAGAACAATCTCAAAGGAATTTTATCCACACAACAGAGTTGAAATTGCAAGAACCTGAAGATGTTGTTTGAAGAATCATTATGTTGATGACATGTGACCTTTGAAAGAAGACTGAGGTTCATTTAATGTAGTAGAGTTCTTAGGAAACATTAGTCAATTGAACAAGATGAGATATTTCGACTCCTTTCAGGCTGGACTCCATGAATGAGCCATTGAATGTGTTAGAGCCAGAAGGGAATCCAGTCAGCTTACCGAGCAGCCCTTGGTCGGGCGAAGGGAATGGGCGGAGCCAGCCAGAGAATCGATTCTGTGGACACTGCACTGCACGCAGAGGCCCTTGTAGAAGACGGCACAGCCATCAATACTAATGCTTTCTTAATCAGATTTGAGTCTGATTTTCCTTCTCAAGACAAGGAAACCATTGTACTTTAGTGACATTCTCATCCTTAAAGCTACAGAGTTTAAGTATTAAACCTTAGTGTCTATTTCTAGGATTTTTTTAATCTTATTTTTATGTTCTGTTTACCATTTTTTGAATTTGTATATTATGACTTGAGAGAAAATAGACCAGTACGAGAAGTGGGGAAGGGCAGGGATGGGTGAGAGGCCCACAAGAGACCTCGGGCAGTTGCAGGTTCACTGTACTTATGGGGCCCTGAGTTTCACTGAACCCTGCCTGCTGTGTCTCAGCAGGAGATGGTGTGTGGGTGCTCCTCCGGAACAAATCAGAGATATTCTGGAAGAGCAGCAGTACATAGGAGATGAAGTGACAGGTGGCCTTCTATGTACAGCAAAACACACCTTTGGCATACTCACTCAGAACGCAGCAATAGTAGCATCCTGAGGTGTGAATGTAGGTGCCACCACGTCCAGGCTGTATAACCCCAGGCAGGTGATGCAAAAGTGTGACAGTGCTTTTGAACTAAGTAAGGTCATGTGCATGAGACCCTGCTGGCATGGCAAATCCTCTAAGAATCCAGTTGTAAGTTTAAAGACCATTAAAAAAACATCATAGGTCTGTGTGCCACTGAAAACATGGCACATTGCCGTGTGGTATAATAGGTCAGCTGTAGAAGCCACTGTTTCATTCCTAGGCAGCATTTAATAGAGTCAGTGGAGCTCACACAGCACATTCTAGAGAGTTCATATCATAAGCACTGTTATAGTGTGTTTAATTATCTTGTGGGGATAGGATTAAACGGTAACAAAGTGAAGCTGTTTTCTGCAGAGAGGAAGGAAGCAGCCTGTATGAGCAGCACTCTGGCCCAGGTATCGTATCAATGCTTAGCAGCTCTAGCTGGTAGCACTAATTGCAGACATACCCCTGTTTTCCGCCTCCATCCTTTGCATATCCTGCTTTTCCTGCAGAGAAGGCCCTTGCTGCCACTGCCTCAGCCCGTCCCTCCTCATCCCTTTAACACCTTCATCTTCATGGTCTTCTAGAACATTCCCCAGGCTTGACATGCTCCAGATAGCCACTTGTGACATGCCTGACACACCAGAGCGATGGAGATGCCCCTTCTCCATACATCCATGTGCAAACAGGGTCTTTTAAGGAAGGAGGATGAGAAATAATGAAAACAGACCTAACCCTGGGCAATTGCCAGCATCCTCGTTAGAGGTGGCAGGTGAAGGACAATGGGACGTGGCCTGGAGCGGGGGAGAAAAGGCCACTTCTGATAGCAGATGTGAGGACTTGCCCCCATACATGCAATACCAAAAGGAACACGGCTCCATTGCTGCAGTTTTTCTCAGAGGAATTGCATATTGTGCTGTAGTCTTTGCAGTCGATGATTGGTCTCTGGTGTCAAGTACCGAGAAAGGAAGCAGGCAAGAACCGGGCATGGGTGTAACTAGCACTGGTGACCTTTGCAGTCACGTGTGTCCCGCTGTCCTGTTGACAGTGAGATGTCAGGCAGATGTCACAGCCTTTCTCCTCCGCAGTGTCCCTGTCCATGCACTGGGGATACTCAGGCTGCTGGGTAATTCCCAGTGTAGCCTCAGCAGCGAGCGTATGGTGGGCAACCACAACGTGGATCATATGCTTCCGGTTGTAACTTCGTAAGCTGGATCATTTTCCATTTTGATTGCAAACATCTTTCCTGACTATATGGAGTTGGAGTGGTGGGGATGTTGGTTTCCACAACAATGCAAAACAACAACTTCAGAATGATTGTTTCCCTACAAAGTAAGTAGAGTATGAAAGAGGAAAGATGGAAAGGGTGTGCACGAGTTCCTCTTCAGATACTCAGGTTGCCTATGGTTTAATCATTTAGAGTTTTTCACAGGTCTGATTCAATGTTAAAAATAAAAATGGTTGCCCCTTCAGATGTTGTATATGTGTAGCCAGTATGTATATGCTGTATGCTGTCTGCACAGTGGCAGTACTGATGGGCTCATTTCTGCCTTGACCTCTGCTGTGGCAGGATGCTGCAACATAGATGTGGCAGTGCTTTGCAGAGCTCCTTGGTCCTCTGTGAACACCGATGGTCCAGCAGCCCTGCTGCAGCACTCCGTCCCTGGGACTGGAACTATGTGGCTCTTGTGCTGCGCTTCCTGCTGGCAGTGCAACAGTGCTGTCGAAAAGTGCCCATCTCTGTCCAGTTTCGATGTAAAGTGCTCACAGTTTGTTCACATAGCATTGACTTCTCTGGTAGAAAAAGAGTTCAAGCTGAAATGAAGTCTCTGTGGTTCACTGTCCATCTGCTGGAAAGAAGGGGGGAGGCTGTTTGCCCCTCCTGCACGCCCGCAGTGCCTTGGCCAGCTGTGCTCCAGCCGCTGGCCTGCAGGTCTAGCACTGTGCACACCCTCTCAGCCTGCTTCTCTGCACAGGCTCAGTCCACCCAGAACAAGTTCTGTCTCCTATTCTCATTTGCGGTGTAGAAGCTTACCATGTATTCCTTAAATTGTCCTGTCTGAAATTTGGATATACTTTTGTATCAAAATTGGAGAAGAAGAGAGGGCCTTGATAATCCTGAAGTATAAGGCTGCTGTTTTAGGGCTCTGTCATCTTAGTGGGAATTCATTTGTTTTGAGCCCTGCTGTTTCCTAGTTGTCTGTTTAAGAATGCGTTTCAACTCACAGATCATTTTGTCCTGTGTTTCCCTTTGTTCGCTGCAGTGGTGCTGGTTACTATGATTACGGACATGGGCTCAGTGAGGAGACCTACGATTCCTACGGTGAGTGACTGGTCAGAGCAACCTAAGCTGGAAATGCAACGTGGCTGCAGGAAGACCCGACAGATCAAGGCACTCTGCCTATGAAATAGAGGCTTCCTTTCAGTTCATTTGGGTGTAGCTTGCTATTTCCAGAGGTTCCTTTGCTTTATAAATTTAGTATTTAGAGAGAACTGAGGATTTGCAGAAAATGACATGGGTTCAGATGCTGAGTTAGATTTTCTGTTGGATTGCCTGCCATGTGCTGCTGCCCACATTCATGGACAGGGTGCCAAGCTGCCGATGCATGACAGCATGGGGCTTTGTGAAGTGTCCTCACCTCTTGACAGGAAAAGGAAGTGAAGCCATTGAGACAGTGTCTCTAAAATGGTTCTACTTCTTTATTAATTTAACCATTCTCAAACCCAAATTCTCTGGACAAATTACACGGGAGTCATTCCATAAAGATTACAGAAGCACTGAGGCAGGGAAGAGATGCTGGGCCGTGTAGGGCTTCAGGTTAGACCAGCAGATCCCTCGTAACGCAGTGCAGCCATTGAAGATGCTGGAGAACCCATGTCTAAAGTCTGAATATGAGGAAAGACATTAGAATGTGAACCTTTAGTGAGTCACCGAGCCCTGGTGAGTGTGTAGAAACAACACGGGCGGATCAGGAGACCAGTTGATGCTTGCGCTGGCATCGTCTAAACGCACGGAAAGCTGCTCTGTGTGTGGCTCGTGAAGTACATTGTTGTGTCACCTGCCTGAAGCCATGATGCCCGCATCTTGATTTTTTTTTTCTTTTCATTTTTTCCTTCTTTTGGTTATCTGTAACAACACTTAAGAGAAACTCAATAGTTTGCTGAATGCTGTCTACTAAAATTGATGCAAGTTAACTGGAAGGAGTGATGTTGATTGCATGTTTGTATCAAAGAAAGAGGTCATTTTAAGCATTTTTCCTTCACAGCTTTTTAAATTGGTCTCTGTGGACACATGGTTTTTAAATTGCTCTGTGTTGCAGCATGGATGTTAACTCTTTGCTGTCAGAGAGCTGTGGGCACCTCACTGGAAGTCCGGCAGGGGAGCAGCAGATCTAGAGAGGTCTGCTGATGTTGTGTAGTGTGGGTTTAGAAACGCCGAGGGCAATTGGGAGTGTAACTGAGACGTGACTTCTCACACAGTACACATTTTACAAGGGCCTGAGAGGAGGGGGCAGCATCTCTCTTTCCCAATCCTCACATTCCTCATATTGTTCTTAATCCTTTTATCCTCACAAAGTTTTATCTAGATTTTTTATGTTTTTGCTTTTAGGAGTAATCTGGGTGATCTTGTCTCCCTTCTTGTAATGTTTCCCAAAAGGCAGTGCAGTTGATTGAGTGGACTTCTGAGCTTGTTAGGATAACCGAAAGAAAGTTCTTGCAAAGTTGATTACTATTTAAGGAGCAAAAATCACTTTTCCTCTGTTGATAGGATTGTTTAGTGAGGCCGTCACTTTCCATTGTGTTTGTAATGTTCTTGATAATTCCTTGTTGTCTCCCCTCCCGCCCAGTACATCAGGGATACATATATATAATTAAGTATAACATTTGCCATTGGTTCATTATTGTTAGAGTCTAACATATGAAGCCGACGGGATCCATGGCAGTCATGTAATCATGATTCCTCTTGCTGGTTTCAGGGCAAGACGAGTGGACTAACTCAAGGCACAAGGCACCTTCGGCGAGGACGACGAAGGGCGTCTACAGAGACCAGCCCTACGGCAGATACTGATTGTAGTGTCTGATGTTGTGAAATAGCCAGTCTCCACCAGTCCTGTATACTGTTCAAAGTAATTTTTTCTATGAACAATCCCTTTTTAAATAAAATGCTTAAAAATCTGAATGGATGGAATTTAAAACTACTTTGTTGAAATACCAACCTGGGCAGAAAAAAAAAAGACATGTAAAAATTTGTTATTTCCACTCTGTATATGAAAAAATAGGTCATCAAAAGGCAAAAAAAATAACTTTGATTAATTAGTGTTAAACAAAAAATAGGTTTACTAAATATGTTAATCCATTCTTTTAATATAAGCCTCACCTTTTATTTTAAGGGTTTCCATAGAATTTAGTTATTTTATCTTTCAGCAATATGCTAGTTTTTTTTCTCTTGCCAACATGCGTAGAAAGGGAAACCAATTACAAGTGCAAATAATGTTGTATTCTTTTGTAACTCAAGTCTTGAAATGTTCTGTAGTGTTGAGCAAAGTTCTTTCTTGCTTGATACTAAATAAACTTTTGAAAGAAATTTCGTGTGTGTGAGCTAACAATTTCGTGTTTTTTTCTTATTTAAAAAGGCTTTCATAAATAGTTGTAAACAGGGAAAGAATTCATTTAACAACGCTTGTCATAACAGGGTCACACTAAACATTGTACAACTTACTTTAAAAATGGTATAAAAATAAATGTGCCATTATATATTTACCGTAGATTTAAATGCTGTATAAAGAGTCCAGATGTTATCAAGCTGCTTGAGTGGCACATTAAAACGACGCAAAACCAAATCTTGTTTAAAAACTGGTTTTAAAATAACTACTGGATTTTCTGAAAAAGATGTGATCAGTTTTCATCTTGTTGAGCATTTTTTCACTAGTGCAACTTTGGATTTTTTATGAGAATTTTGGTACCTTAATGAACACCTCGCTCCATGCTGGAAGCAATGAGCACAAAGCTTTTAAAGGCATTCTGACTTGACTAATTGAGGTCGCACTCGCCAAGGCTGAGGATGTGTAACCCTTAAACGGTCTTCATTTCCAAAGGTAAATAAATCAAATAAGATTTTAATCTCAATTAATTTCTCTTAATATAACTAATAAAGACAGGGAGATTACAACCTAGCAAATGTCATTATCCATTTTAGAAAAGTTTTAAGATCACCTAAATTCTCATTTTAAAAAGTTTAATTTGTTTTAGTAGTCTAAAAAGCCTTAGTTTAGTCAGTTTAATTGGGGCCAATTATTCCCTATTAAACAAATGTAAAACCTCATAACTAGTTATTTGTAATACATTATTTGGTTAGTATTTGAGGACACTTCTTAAAACTGACAAATATTTAATAAAGTTTTTTTCATCATTTTACTTACGTTTTAAGTGTAGATGATATAAAATGTTTAATTTTTCTTCTTGAAATGTTTCCTTCTGTTTTGAGTAAAATGATCTTTTCTTTTGTTAGGAGACAGCAGCCGTCTGGGGATGGCAGAGGAAGTGGTGGTGCACCTGCAGAAGACGCAGGTGAGTCCCCACGTGCCCGGGCTGCCGGCAGCGGGAAGGGGGAGCATGTTCTGGGAGTGGCTCAAGTCACGTGCCAAGTCTCCGAGGCTGGTTCCCGGGTGCCAGTCCTAGCAGTTTGGGCAGATTAACTCCTTGGGTCAAGGTTTGTATCTTCCCCAGTATTTAAATATGTGAACTGCCTTCTTAAGTAAAAATAGTTAGCATGAAATAGTCTTCTAAATTATTGATAATAAGAAGTAGTTTCCCAAACTTAATATTTTCGTATGGACATACCCACACATCCACACACACACTGCCAAAATTACACAGCTGTGCACAGTTTTCAGTGTTAATTATCTCAGTCTGGCGGAGGAGATCTTGATTCTGTGGAGGAGGTCTTGATTCTGTGAGGCAAACTGTCACTGTTATAAAATAAATACATAATGTATTTTGTAAAAATTTTTAATCACATTTCTAAAAATCTAGGGATCTGTGAAAAAAAGATATCATTAATCTCAGTTTTGGGGTATTTTTGCCTTGTTCTGCCCCAGCAAAGCCATAGTTTTGTCCAGTGAACTAGGGAACACTGGTGCCAGACACACAGCACAAGGAGGTGGAGTAAATGGGCAGACCCCGGCGGGGGGTGCAGGCCGGGAAGGTCAGCTGGAAGCTGATCTCTGTCTTCTGTGTCGCTGCGTTTGCCTTTCTCCTCGGTTGCAAGACTTTAGATACTCTAAGGCAAATCTGTGCGTTGTTATGATACGAAACCCCAACCCTTAGCAGAGTATGTGGTACGTAGGTTCAGTGAGAGCTGGTGAGGAAGAGCAGTGCAAGAATGAAGCTGGAATTGTAAGCACTAGCAGGGAGCGCTCCTTGGTGGTAGCTGGTTTCTGACAGTTGCAACGGAGGCATGAGCTTCTGTAACAATTAGCTATTTCAGCAGGAAATGTAAATCTGGGAAACAGAGTATGGTCTGTTATTTCATAGGCAGTCTCTGTGCTTGATTCAAACTCTGAAGCTTCCATGAAAGAATGCCCTGCCTCAAGATACCATAGGGAACTGTTAAGGTGGTTTATGCTTAAGCCTACACACACCTGCCAGCACTGTTTTCATGTATGTGATATTACACTGTTTCCTCTTTGGTTCAGTTTAGAGTCTAAGAGTTTACTTTCTATTATTTGTAATGTACACCCACATTTTGATTAGCTGAGTAATATTTGCCTGAATGAGCCATAACATAAACAACTGTGTTTCTAATGTTTTTCCTTATTAAATACAGTATAAGAAAAAGGGTTTAGATTCCGTTTTTGCACATATATGCATACATATATGTATGCAATAAATTTCTAAAGTAGATTTTCGAGGTTATTGCAACTTACTTCTCAGACAAGTCGTGTTGTATCTTAATATGCTTTGGGGAAAGAAGCAGAATCTGTAGCTGTATGGACGTATTCTGCTGTGTAACAGTTAAGACCTGTAGCCACACACATTTGAGTGTTATCCACTCCAAAGTGGCACCCGAATGTTCTCCTTTGTGGGGCACGGTGTAGACCTGTGCTTGGCTGGGTGCTGTGGGAACTTGCACGGAACTACAGGGCATGTGGTTCTTGCACAGACACCATAGGACTTATCTCAGTCTTTACCAGTAAAAACTGAGTCCCACTTCTTACTCTAACTTCTACTGGTCCCTTCTCACTAGCGGCACCTGTGTACATGAGCAGGTGTGTTTCAGGGGTGACCTGTTGCAGGCCGAGTTAGTGCCCAGCACTGCAGATATCCCAGAGTAAGGCAAGACAGCCTTTATTTGGAGAGGCCCTTGCTCCCCCAAGGAAACACACAAACCCCACTAGTATTTCCTCCACAGTGTCTTTGCCCACTTTTCCTCTTCTTTGCTTATCCATATCTTGCCAATTCATGAGGTCTTCCCCACATCCTTCAGACAAGAGGGTCCCTCTCTTCTGTGCCTGAAAGTACTGGCTCAGAGCCCTGGGTTGGCACATACCTGTTCTCAACCTGCTGCTGACATGTGGTTGTCCTATGGAGTTGTGAATGAGGCGTCTGTATTTGTTAACCTTTCAAGTACTGCTCACAAGTGATTCAGAAAATATTCATTGGTTATTTAAATGTCTGTTGAGTTACTATATTTGAGGATTGGCTTGTCTAGGTATTAGGCTATAACATTGTTTGCATCTGATTGATGCTAATTTTATGCAGAGGATGGTGGTGCTAGCTCTCCCTGATGCTCTGTCCCAATGAAAGGCTGAGTGAAAGCAGAGTTGTCTTTTGGCAAGTGTGATGGACTTGATCTGTGGGTTCTGTGGGTAGATGTAGCCTGGAAGGACTCGTGAAAGCCGACATCTTACAAGCAGGCCAGGGGAAGAGAAGTGTTAGGTGTGGTAGAGTGACAAGGCGGGCACAGTGCTGAGCAAGTCGTGAAAGAGCATTTTGTGTTGGGGAAATCAGACACGAGAAGACAAATGAAGGGAGATGGATGCATCAGGTCGGAAGCAGCTGACTCCTAGGGAGCTGTGCTCTGTGCGCTGGGTTTCTCAGAGATCCCCTAGGATGAGGCACAGGCAACCAGGGGCATGAAAGGAAGCTGACCAGGCCTGCCTCTCTTCTGGGAGTGGGTTTATGTATGAGGAACTTCAATATGTATTAGAAGTTTCATGAAAAGCAAGGCATTGCCATTTCTGAAACCCGGCCCATAAAGGCCACAATGCATAGTGTCATCATGCTAATTATAGTCAATCCTTTATCCTGTCTTTGTGAAACACAAGTAAATATACAATATCTAATTTTGATCATTCTGTTTTGCATCATTTTCCATAAAATTATTTCCAGAAATTTTTTACTTGCCTGATTCCTCTACCTAGATCCTGCCATTCTCAACAACATCCTAAAATTATTAGTTTATAGATGCATATAAATGGCTTTCATTTCTCTCTTTCAGGAGTGTGCCCTCTGCCTGTGGACTTCTCAGAGCAGTTGCCTCACCTGCGTGCCTAGTCAGAAATGAAGCTGCTTGAGAACTTGGAAATCATCTTAGTTTTTTTCTTGACAATTTGTGTTCTGTGAAATGTTTTCTAAAATGTTATGCTTTTCAATTTGGAAATCCTGTTTCTGAAAAAAAAATAATCAAGCATACTTTGTTGTCTGCTAATAACAGAAAGAGAATGATTTGTGTAATTGTTAATAAAAGTTACCCACCAGTGCCCATCAGAGGTCTTCCACTCCACTAGAAACCTAAGGGAAAAATGTCTTTGTATCAGCACAAGTAAGTGTCTCACAGGTGAGAGCCAGGTATAGCTGTGACTCACTGCCAACAGTCAAGATGCCACACGGATGCTGGGTCTGTCTCCTAAGACGTTAGTTATAAAAGCTTCTTCAGGAAGCACAGTGGCACTGCAGAGTGGAAGTCTGAGTTTCCATACCTCTGCCACTTGTTACGGCACATAACGCTCATGGCCCCTGTGGAGAATACTGTTCTGTTGGTTCTCTTTTATCATTTACTGGAACACTGTTTGCTAATTCAGCATACTTGAGTGAGGAAGGTGTGTTTTATTACTTTAGCTACTCACACATGGTCCACCTGCTCTTCAAATTTCAAAAATGGTCTAGATACTGGATATTATCCTGAGTGATGAAAGCAGCATGAGAGTGTCAGGTGGGGAGGTGCTGACAGAGCTGTGAGAACACAACACAGAAGTGCACGGTTAGACTTTAATTCAGGTGCCTGAGAAATAATATGTCACTGTATCAGACCAAAAGGAAAAAAAAAAAAAACACTGAGGTGCTTAGGTGGGAGCATACTTCCCTTCACTGAACGTGAAGGAAGAACAAGGCTGCCAGTGTAGAGGCCATGGCGTGAGCAAGAGTCAGACAAGCTCATCATGGACTCAGGTAGCTGCGTGGGAGGCAGAGCATGGAAAACCATCTTTGAGCTTTACTTGAAGCTGCTGCTGAGGGGGACAGACCAGTAGGGGCATGAGCTGATCCCATAGTACTGTGCCGGATTCGCTGGCCAAGGTGCT